AATACATTTACATTAATATAATTAATCTAATTATAATTCATTTAACAATAAAATAATGATGCTGGAGAAATTAATATTTAATACAGGCCTGAATTTATATATTTTTATTTCTTCCTAAAAGTGGTAAATATAATAAATATATTTTATCTTATTTTGCTTTATTACATTATTAGAATAATTCATTTCCATAAAATTTCACAATATTAATTAACTGTAAAGCTATTGATGTTAATGATATACGTTTAATTATTACCTTAAAAAGAAAATAGTTACATAAATAAAAAAATATTGGTTTGAGTATAAGCTAGATGAAAAGGTCTTTCAATAAATCCTAGAATATAAAAGATAATTATTTAACTTTAAATTTGTCAGGCTTGAATAAAAAAAAAATAAAAAGAACAAGTAATGAAGCAGCTTTTAATTACTTAAATAAATGTAATAATTATTATAATCTTAATCTTATATATTATTGCGTTAAGTTTACGATAAAGAAATTAAGCTAATTAAAAAATCTCACTCATTAGTACTCAAATAGTACTTTTCATTATTAATTTAATAATTGCTCAAATATGTTTTTCTGTCTATTTAATTACTTACAATTGAAACAACCAACTAGTTAATTTATCCTATTTTGTAACAATTTTATTTAATTTAAAAATTTTGACAAATTTTATGAATATATTTTGGACTGAATTTTTGTCTTTTTTAAATTTAATGTAAAATTTAAACAAACTACAAATCTTATTTTATATTTATTATCAACTATTTCAGCATCGATTACACAATGTTACTCTTCTATTTTCTTTCTTCCTAATTCACAATTAAAATAATCATTGATTTATAAAATTTTTAATACTTTTGCCAATGTATTCAATGTTTTATCATTCATTAGCCTTGTCAACGAGATATTCTCATATTGACTTAAATTACCAAATGTTAAATTCAAGTTATTAGAATTCATACAATAGATGTTAATTGCTCTTCTGCTGCATTACTATAACTTTTTTCATTAATAATTTTATGATACTTACTTAATATAGCTTTTTAAAACAGAAACACAAACTATTAAGTTTCTTACAGAAAATTCAACTACATTGTTATCTAAAACACGACTAAAGAAAAAATGTATACATACAATAAAGAATTGAAACAGCGAAAAACATAAACATTAAATGTTATAATAATTAACGTGCTATTTTTTATCATTGTTGTTTTATCAATAATTCTCCACATCTTCAACTTTTTGTATTATTCTTGGCCATAGTTAGTTGGCATACATAGTTTTTGATTCTCTCCAAATTCTTTAATTGGATTAACATTTTGTAATTATTAAAATACAAATTATAAATATATATGATAAATCATTTTATCATTCGCTTTCATTTTTACTCACACACACATTGGCACACTTAATAATTTCACTTTCAACAATTATTAAATTCATGACCCCTTTTTGCTTCAGACTTTTTCCATTTAATATCATAAAATACTAATAAATACTTGGCTCAATATTCTTTGTAATCATTATTATAAAAATAAAAAATTTCAATGTATATATACTATAATATATAAATATGGAATGGTTGTATTTAAATTAAAAATTTTAAGTATTACATTTATCTTGTAAATATTTAATGTATGTACAGATAATATTGTCTGTAATGCTGGATAACGAAGAAATTTAACTTAATTTAATTTAATTTAATGTAATTTTTTAAAATCTTTCTTAAATTTATCAAATTTAACAAACGTTCGATAACAATTGAACACCAATAAGTTATTAAATTAAATTCATATTGCAGTTATTAAAAGCAAATATGGCCGCATTTATTCTATTTTATAATAAACCCACGTTGTGCATACTTTTAACAATTTTTTTATTCCTAAGAACAAAATTTAGCAATTATTTGATACTAAAATTTCGTTGAGTTCAAAATTTATTCAGGTCAAATTACAATCTGATTGATCAATGACTTGAAACCAAATGGATATCAAAAAAAAATTTTTGTTTTATAAAACGAACTCTTCCGAGAACCGCGACACAATCATAATAACATCGACTAGATTTTTTTTTTATAATTTAATACTGTCAAGAGTATTACTAAATGCAAATATCGCGGGAATAAACTATGAATAACTATAAATTTTTTTTCAGTATTTTATAATTCTATTTACTTTCTTTTTATGAATTAATAAATTAGTGTAAAAAACTTGAGAAAAACTAAAAGAGACATGACATTTCTTGACAAACAATATTAAGCATTATCAAAAGAAATATCAAACAAAATTGATATCCTACACAACAGAGCCTATGAACTTTCAATATTTAAATTAAAAACATATATATAGCAATGTTGAACATTCTTTAGCTCATGGAGAAATTATTTGTTTGCTTATAACTGATCGTATAGTTGTTCTTATTATAAAACTTCTTATGAACACCAAATTCCTTATTCAAACACACTAACAATTTTTATTATTGTCAAAATTTATAAATTTTAAGGTAATATTATTTTTAAATTAATCAAGAATATTAAATAATATTAACACAATTAATACCTACAAAGAATAAGAGAAAATAAAAATAACTATAGTATCATCATATATAAAACAAAAAAAAAAAAAAAAAAAAAATAAAAAAAAAGTATTAAATAAGCATTAGTAATTCAAAAATAAAATTTACTTTTAACTCTTGATTGTTATTAATCTTTACTGCCTTGTGTTTATTCTATTGTTTTGCTATTTTTCTTAATGGTGGTGTCCCTGTTGTAACGGACTTCTATTCACACGTAAAACAAAACTTGTTTATTTCTATGCATCGAGATGCTAATAAATTACCGATACTTGTAGAGCGATAATAAGTGCTCATTATGGAAAAAAATTTTTACATCGTAAGATGAAGAAAAATTTTGGTTTCATTAATATTATTAAATAATGATTTGATCGATTATTTTTTAAAATTTTGAAAAAAAAATAACGATAGTTTTCATATTATTATAGATAAAATAATGCGTAATGATGACACTGTAGATATGATCGTTTATTTATATAATCTTCAATTTGTTTATGATATATTTTAATATAAAAAGTTAAGAGTATACGATAATAAGAATTAATTCAAATAAATATCGAGAGCATTTTTCTATTGGTATTCCTGCTTAAAACTAATTAACTACTAATTTGATTCGATTACAGTAATTTAAAAATAAATTTTACTTCTTCAACATTATCCAAATTCATTGATACAAAACAAAAACAAAAAAAATGTGTGAATCGCCAAACGAAGATAATATTTCAATTCGCAGCGATGATTCAATTCTTAGTGTTTCAATGAAAAATGAAATTGTAATCATTTTTTGTTACAACCATAATCTCAATATTGTTTTTTCATTTTTACGATGCACTAAATACTTTTTAAAATGAACATTAATATTTAGAAGGATAAATTAAATTCATTAATAAGTATGGAATTAAAACATTCCAATGTATATTACGATTTGTATGCAAAAAATAATATATTAAAAGTGGATTTAGAAAATGTATACAATTCATGTAAGCGATTTGAAAATCAAATAAAAATTAAGAGCGAACATTTGGAAGAGTATCACGAAGAGCTAATGAAATATCAAAAACACAATAAACTACACCTAAAGAAAAAATTGTAACAAATTATTGATCATACCGAGGTTGGTAAATATTTATAAAATCAAATTTTAAACATGTTTTTAGATCATCTATTATTCAAAAATTGGAAGAGACCAACTCTTCCTTCTGTGATGCTTTTAATCATTATGTAAGTAAAATATGAATATATTAATATTAATATTGTGAATATTAATATTGTGTGACGATTTAAATATATATTTAATCATTTAATATACGATACAGTTTACGGAAAAATAAATTTTTGTAATCCTTTATGAATTGATTTGGAAATTAGAAAAAATTCATTGTTTAACTTTTCAATATACTCCTGTCCTGCGTTACAGTGCTTCGAATTTTCTATTATTTTAACCAGCAACGCATTCATTGAGACAAATAGATTTATGTGTATACTAAAGAGATTTCTAATATTATTAATATTTCTAATAATAAAATTATATCTTTTATCAATAAAGACATGTTTATAATATTAGGAAAAGTAACAGCCAAGTAAACGTATGTATAAACAGATATTAATTTCATTGTTTATAAAAGAATAAAAAAATTTAGAATCTCCTTGATTATAAACGTAACTTTAATCAAATAAATTTCATGCAATTTGAAATTTGAATACTTTATGATACAAATCTATGAACAACACAATTGATAATTATTAAAAGTATCTAAAAATCTTAATAACTTTTAATAATTTCGATTTCATTTGCTTTTTTATTATTTACATATTTATTAAATGTTATTTTTATTAGAGCTCAGCAGTGTTAAAAAATTCCATACATATTTTTGATAATGAAACTCAACAAAAAGAACAAAATTCGTTAAAAATCATAAAAGAATTAAATACTCTTCAAGAAAAAATAAAAATCCCTAACTCTTTGATAAAATCAAAATTCAACCAAATATCAAATATAGACGTTGCTAAAAATATATTGTAAGATATATTTGTATTATTATTTATAATGTAAACAATTTTGGAAATAATATTTGATCGATCGTTGCTTACAGATTCGAATACTCAATGAAACGTCCAGAAATTGAAATAGAAGCAAGTGCTTCAAAATTAGCAGGTGAAGTTAAAAAATTGGAACAACGACGAGATGAATTAAATCTCATAATACGCAAACATAATAAATAAATTTTTAATTAACATATAAGCCCATGTGGAATACATTCATATAATTTATGTTAAATCATGCGATTCAAAATAATTATTCTACATTTATTAAATGATTCAAATAAAAAATTAATTTAAAAAAATAATATATAACAACCGGAAGTTCTTTATCCCGCTGAATCTTATACGTGTGGCGCCACTGACTACCTGTAGAGTGAAAGTGTGTTGAGGTTAGGAAATTGAATTTAGAGAAAAAGCCGGCGAAGGTTCTGTGTTATGCCGACGATTTTTCAAAGTCCAGAGAGAATTAAACTTCTTTAATTCTTTTGAAAGTTATATTACGAAAAAAAAAGTATAATGGAGCTCACTGACGATAATCTCTTCACGCTGAGTGAATACTTAAAGCATACACTTAGCCCTGACGTCGATGTCAGACGCCCTGGTAATGCGTTTTATAAATAAAGATTCTTCTCGTTCAACTGTTATTCTTATATTATGTTCAAATTAAATAATAAGCTTTTTATTTTAATGATAATCATGTTTCATTGTTTAACAATGATATTTTTGTTTTTCTTTTTATAATCTTTTTACAATCCATTTGATAAATTTATAATATTGATTTAATTGTGGAATGTATAATTTTAATAGTAGATAAAAATGATCAAGTTTCTTTAATATAAATTTATTATAAAAATTTCTATTAAATCGTAATTAAATTATTAATAAGAAAAGTAGCATAAAAGTTACAAAATCCAAAAATATATTTACTTTACATATCATTATCCAAATTTATACTTATTTTATTATTATTATTTTTTAGCTAATATAATTTCATTAATCGTACAGATATATTACAAAGTATTAATAAAAATTATAATTCATTATTACAATATAAATTGATTCATATATTTTTATGATACTTTGATCGTTCATGATGAACTTAAAATTATGATTATATTTATATGTAAATTATTAAATTTAAATTTAATATCTAACGGTGTTGCATTGATAAACAAGAAAAAGTTACATTTTTTCATCGGTACAAGTGACTTTATTTAATAAAATATAAATTATTTTAATTAAAAATATTTAATATTGAAATTGTTTTTTATTAAATGTTGAAAGTTTTATAATTTTTGTTTGTTAATTAATTTATTTATTAATTCAGTTTTATTAATACATGACTAAACAAATTTATATTTATAATAGAGGTTAGGTATAATTTCTAATTTACTTATTTATTTATGTATCTTACTTAATAAATATAAGCAGTTTTACATTTAAAATTTTGTTAATTTTTTCAAAATTACTTATTCAAATTTTATATTTCTCATTAAATTGAAATTTATCTTAAGTACAATTAATATTAACTAATAAAATTTGTGAAAATCTAATGGAATTTCTTTACTTTTTCAAATGATTCCTTTTATTATTCGTTATAAAAATGAAATATAATTAATTAAACGTTAATTAACTTTATTTATTGTGTCACTAAAGATTATTTTCCTATTTCAGCTGAAAAGTTTTTGGAATCAATAGAATTAAATCAAAACTATCCGTTGCTTTTACTTCATTTAGTAGACAAATCCGAAGTCGATCTAACTATTAGAGTAGCTGGAGCTATTGCGTTTAAAAACTACATAAAAAGAAATTGGAAAACTGTAAGTATTTTAGATGATATTTTAAAAATTTATACAATTTAAAAAAATATAATTTTATCATAATTATCGTGTTTTTAAAGCAACTATCAAGCTTATTATAAATCCGTATTACTAATTCATGCGATTAATAACAACATATTTGTAGGAAGAAGATTCTGTAAATAAAATACATGATCAAGATCGTATTACTGTTAAAAAACTTATTATAAACTTAATGCTACATTCACCCGATTCAATACAAAAACAATTGTCCGATGCGGTTTCAGTTATTGGCAGGCATGATTTTCCTGCTCAGTGGCCAGAATTAATAGATCAGATGGTAGATAAATTCAACACAGGGGATTTTCATATTATTAACGGAGTTTTACATACAGCTCATTCTTTATTTAAACGATATAGATATGAATTTAAAAGTGAAGTATTATGGACTGAAATAAAATATGTCTTAGATAAATTTGCAAAACCATTAACCGATCTTTTCTTGGTAATGTATTAATTCTTTTCTCTTATTCTCTATACTTTAACATGAAATAGAATTTAATATGTAACATTGAATAATATTCTAGGCAACGATGAATCTCACTCAAGTGCATGCTAATAACGTACAAGCATTAAAAGTCATATACAATTCATTAGCTATTTTATGTAAAGTATTTTATTCGCTCAATTTTCAGGTATAAAATAAATAAACACTAACTACATTGTATTATTGTTAATTATATTTAATAAAAAATAATAGTAAACTTATTTACTTTATAAATGTTAAGGATTTACCAGAATTTTTCGAAGATAATATGTCCGTGTGGATGAGCAACTTTCATAATTTGCTCACTGTTAATGTACCATCATTGAAAACTGGGGTAGAAAATTAGTTTAAAAATTTTTTTAATTTAAATTATTTATCTCTAAAAAAACTAAGGCATTTCTATTTTAATATAAAATTTTAGGATGACGAAGAAGCTGGCGTGATAGAACAATTAAAATCACAAGTTTGCGATAACGTGTGTTTATACGCACAAAAATATGATGAAGAATTTCAACAATTTTTACCTCAATTTGTCACAGCAATTTGGAATTTGCTTACATCTACAGGTCGACAAATAAAATATGATGCGGTACATTGAACAACAATATTTGTATACATTTTTATTCGTAATTAAGCATTGAAATTAATAGTTCCATTATATTTACGTTATTAGCTTGTATCCAACGCGTTGCAGTTTTTAGCAACAGTCGCGGATCGTTCTCAATATAGGAATCTTTTTGAAGATGCGACGACTCTGAGTAGTATTTGTGAAAAAGTCATTATTCCAAATATGGAATTTCGGAGTAAGATAATTGGATGTTAAATTATTGTTTTAAAATATTTGTAATTTAATGAAATTTAATGCATTCATAGAGTCGGATAATGAATTATTCGAGGATAATCCTGAAGAATATATTCGTCGCGATATCGAAGGCAGTGATGTAGATACTAGGAGGAGAGCCGCGTGCGATCTTGTGAAAGTGCTATCAAAATATTTTGAAGATAAAATTATGGAAATCTTCGGTGCTTATATACAGGTTGATTTATATAGTTAAATAAGATATTCTTAATCGATTAATTTTTACGTATTTCAATACGAATATTTTTTAAAGGCCATGCTGCAAAACTATCTTACTAAACCTGCAGAAAATTGGCGTAGCAAAGATGCGGCTATATATCTTATAACAAGTAGTGCTAGTAAAGGGCAAACTCAGAAACATGGTGTAACTCAAAGTAGCGATCTTGTACCTCTTCCCCAATTTGCAGCGCAACACATTGAGCCTGAGCTTACTAAACCGGATGGTAAATATTTCATTATTTAACTTAATATGATAATTTAAGAAAGTCGCAAAAGGTGCTAACTATAAGTTGATAATTGTAATTTAAATATATCATTTTAGTAAACGAATTTCCAGTCTTAAAAGCTGATGCTATAAAATTCATAATGATATTTAGATCTATTTTACCACGAGAACAAGTTGTTGGAAGTTTACCACAAATGATTAGGCATTTATCAGCAGCAAGTCCTGTTGTGCATAGTTACGCTGCATGTGCAATAGAAAAAATTCTTGTTCTTAAAAGTCAAGCGAATGTACCATTGTTAGTGTCAAATATGTTATGATTATCTTGTAAATGATGGCATTATTATGTGAATGAAGAAATTTTAATATTTTAGAGTCAAAGGAGAAGAAATTGCCCCTCTTGCCACGGATTTATTGAAACACTTGTTTGGGGTTCTTGATTCTCCAGGATCAGAAGAAAATGAGTATATAATGAAAGCTATAATGAGAAGTTTTGCTACTTTGCAAGAAGCAGTCGTACCCTTTTTAGCAGATTTATTACCAAAGTTGACGCAAAAAATTACAATAGTTGCCAGAAATCCCAGTCGTCCTAATTTTAATCATTATCTTTTTGAAACCCTGAGTATATCTATTAAGTTAGTCTCGAAGTTTAGATAAATACTAATGTATTGCGCGAAAAATTATTTACAATTCATTCTTTGGGTTTCTTTTAGGGTTGTGTGTAAATCGAATCCAGATGCCTTTGTATCCTTTGAACAAGCCCTTTTTCCAACCTTTCAAGGAATTTTACAACAAGATGTTCAAGGTTACAATTCATTTATCAAATTTTTAATTATCTTTTTTTTTTCTTCTAATTTTCGCTCTAATATTTCATTAATCGGATAATTTTTAATTTGTTTCAGAATTCATACCGTACGTTTTTCAAATTTTGGCTCTGCTTATGGAATTACAAGCTAGTTACAGGCCTAACATACCCGATTCATATATGGCATTATTTCCATGTTTATTGTCACCTGTTCTATTTGAAAGGCAGGGTAATATTCATCCATTAAATCGACTTTTACAAGCATTCGTGAGTAATGGATCAAATCAAGTCATAGCACAGGATAAAATCAGTGGTTTACTAGGTGTATTCCAGAAATTGATAGCTTCGAAAGCAAACGATCACGAAGGATTTTTATTGATACAGACCATCATTGAATACTTCCCTCCGTAAGAACACAAAATTTTTAAATTCTATAACTTTGCTGTTAATAATTAAATTAACCGAATTATGGTTTTCAGAGATACCTTGAAACCTTATATTAAGCAAGTTTTTATATTACTTTTTCAAAGACTTTCGTTCAGCAAAACGACAAAATTTGTTAAAGGCCTTATTGTACTCTTCTGCTTTTACGCTATTCGCTATGGCTCGATGGACTTGGTTTCAATGATAGATTCGATTCAACCTCAGTAAGTTTATTAGAATATTATGTAATTTATTTATTTTAAATTTCACACTTAAATATTAAATATCAATATGTTTTAATCCTGAAAATATAAATGTTTTATTTATCGATCATTTATTATCGATATCTTTCTTAACATGTAATAACTTCACTTAAATAGTAATTAGTTATTTAAAATTTATTTGCATTTTAGAATGTTTGGTATGGTAATAGAAAGAGTATTTATCGCAGATTTGCAAAAAGTATCGGGAGAAATTGAAAGAAAAATCACAGCAATTGGTGTTTCAAATGTCTTAACTAGTTGTCCAAGTATGCTTGAAAATCCATATGTAGCATATTATCCTCGACTTTTAGCCAGTTTAATAGAATTTTTTGAATTACCACACGACGAAACTCAATTACCAGAAGATCAGCAAGATTTTGACATGGCCGATGTATCGGGCTATCAAGCAGCCTACAGTCAATTGGTATTTGCAAGAAAACTAAAAAGAGATCCCCTAGCTTGTAAGTTAACTTATTTTATCCTTTAATGCAGCTTTTATTTTATTTTATTTATTTATTTATTTATTTACTTATTTATTTATTTTCTTGTCTTGTCATAACAATTGTCAATTATGATAGAAATGTACATTATATCAATTACGTACATAGATTTTATAACAATTAAGTCATTTTATTTAGTTAATAAACTTGAATGAATGCAATTTAGCTCAATTATAAAAATCTATCACTTAATTATATTTGTAAAGGTATAATACTGAAATTATAACGTGTATTTTATTTTTCATTATAATATTTTAGCTATTTTGGATGTACGCTTATATCTTGCAAAAGGACTTGGTACGATGGAACCAAGTCAGTTACGTGGTTTATTGGGACAAATTCCTGAGCCAAATGCAAATCACCTTAGAAATTATCTTCAAACAGCTGGGATTACTGTTGCATAATACGAACCTCAAATTCGGGAAAGGTTGAAAATACACTTGATGTCCCGTAAGTTCAATAGCATCGAATTAAATAAGACATGATTAATAAAATCGAAGTTAAACATTTAGTATTGAACAAGTATATGGCAATATCAATTTTAAAAAATTTTATTTTTTATACCCATTAATCTTAAATATAAATAATATATATAACAGGCATACTTTAAATTTGTACAAATCGTTACTTTTTGTCTTAGATTTTTTACATTCAATATATAACTTAATATAATTTAGTCGTAAAAATCCCTTTAATCCATCGAATAATTATTTTTTTAATCATCATGTACATATACAGATGTACATGTGTATCATATACAGATGCCGTGTTTTGCAAAAATTTAAATTATAAAATTATTTATTTCGATGTCAATCAATTGAACCATGAACTCTACTAAGCGTTTAAATCAACTACCTGTGGTGACGTGTAGCATAACAAAATTTTGTACATGAAATTTTTTAAATAATGAAACACCGTAACCAGTGCAGAATTTATTTAATTGTACAGTTATAACTGTTTAAAAAATGGTGTATTTTGTTCTTTAGGATAAGTAATATTTACATTATCATAATAACATACTTATGAAATAAACATGCAAATTCAAATAAATAAAATAATTTTAAATAATATAAATTGTTTCTCATTTATCATCAGACAAATAATGAAAATATTTAGTAAATACAATTAAGTTAATCTATTTTTAAATTATATTTAATTTTTCACTAAACAACATGTATTTAGTAATAATATTTTTCTATAAATTTTTTTTTTTTTTTATTGATATATGTATGTAAAATTAAAGTGTATAAAATATGTATATTATTAAAGAAGAAGTCATATTGTGATAATAAGTGATTGCTGAGATCTAGTAAGGATAATAAGCTCGAACCAACTAAGTTCTAATTCGCATATCATTGCTAAATTCAAGTGCCAATTAGCTTAACATAAATCGATTATAATTTTGCAACTATATTAGCATATATATTTTACATAGTTTATTACTACCGCCTATAAGTTATACAGTCATTTTATAGAGTATACGGAGTACTGTTTTTTAACTATTTTGACAAAAAGTAATACGTACATACGTATATAAATACCTTTCTTAAAATACCTTAGATTGTCAATAAAGCTATTTAATAGCAAGCGCATACCTATTAATTACATATGTTTAATCTATTTCACTAGAAGTAAACCTTATTCACACTATTTAAATAATAAGTAAAAATTAATTATATGACCTTGTGCATGCGTGTGCTTATTTGTTTATTTTATAATTTATAATAATTTTGTTTTTACTAAAATATATTCACTATCACCGACTATCAAACTGATATACAAATATTAAAGATAAATTAAGATTCATTCACTTAAAAATATCGAACAATTTAATATATATTAGTTAAGGCCTGATATTTTGCACTTAATTCCTAATAAACGTAATTTTCTTTTGAAAATTTACCGAATAATAGTAGCGATGAATTTACATTTATGATTTTTAAACAACAGTTAGATATAATATTTAATTAAATAAATTTCTAATAATTTATATCTTATTATGTTTGATAAAATAAATATTAAAAAAAAAGGATGAGTCGAAAATTCTTTTGATATAGTTCAAAATAAACAACACAAGGAAGTATGTTTGAATAACATAAGAATCTGATTTAATTTGTTCATTTCAATAAGGTCTAAAAACATTAAAGTTTTAACCAATTTACATAAATTAGTATTAGAAAGCTCAGATTATTGATAATGAAGTCGAGTGTTGCCCAGCTGAAATAGTTATATAATAATTTTATTATAAAAGGGCATATCAATGTATTTTAATAAAATAGTAAATTCAGAAATACAATTATGGCAGCTTCTGAAAGAATACAATGTTAAAAAGGGATTCGTTAAAGTGCCAAAAATCCTAATTTTGGTGAAAAAGTTTATAGCGTAATATATAAAGAAATTTGTAAATTTTTAGTATTGCCTAAACTAAATTGAAATTGGTTTTTATTGTATGTAACGATTTTTTTTATGTAACAATATTTTATATAATTCAATATATTTTATAAACTTCGCAGTGTTATCGTGACTATAAAATATCAAATTTAATGTAAATTCTTACAACAATATTGCTATATAATTATGTAATTTAGTATATTGTTGATAATAAGGATATATAAAACATAGGTAATTATTGAAATATCTATTTACTTTATTTATATTATAGACATTGTAGAAATAAAATAAGAATATTGGACACATTAAATAGTGAAATATTGGTAAGTTATCTATTTTGACAAGGAAGAAATAAAAATATATTTATAGTTTATGACACTATATTATTAAAATTATAAAATATTTTAGTACAAATTATGTCATTCATTGGAAATGAGGTAAAATTCTACTTTTTTACACGTTTTAATGCTAAATTTCTAATTACATTTAAATTTTTAAGAAAATTGATCAAATATTTTTGTAAACTTTTTTATTTTTTATTTTTAATGTTATCTATACACGTGATATCAGCATACATATATATATATATATATATATATATATATATATATATATAGTAAAGTAATATAAGAAACACGTAATGCAAAATATGCTAAAATATTTTTATATTTAACTTAAATTTATATATATTATGTTCTATTAAGCTTATATATACAATACATTATAATATTATTATTTTTAATGAAAACAAAATATATACTAATTTCAGTATTATTTAAAATAACTAAATAAAATCTAAACTTTTATTAAAATATTTTTAACAATTTTATTATCAATTGATTGATTAGAATTGATTTTTAAATTAACATAAATGGAAAAATATTAATTATATCTTAACAATTCGAAAAAAATAGCTTTATCCAATTATTCAATGTGATTGAATAAAATGAGAAAGAATGATGCGAAAACCATATTATTATTAGGGAATTTTATATATCACCGATATATAAGATTCCATAAGATTTTTTATTATCGCTAAATATTTTTGAGATATTTCACTGCTCAGGTAATATAAAGATCCATTGTTACATATTTTGTAACAATGATTAAGTATACATTTTGTAAGGATGTTTTATCTTTTTCTTATAAGCACTATACGATATTTTTATTTTTATAAAAAATTTTTTATAAAAAAGAGTACAAAATTACAGAGAAGATAAGATTCGAGGTATTAATTACCGCGCATTAAAAATGCGCGTACAAAGGATGTGTTGGATGCCAAAAATATTAAATTTATCAGATCGGATATCGCCGTATTCAGAGATATTTGACATATTTGAGATATTTTATTAATGCGGCATTTTAGAAGCGTATGACGAATTATATGTAATAATTAAATCGGTTTATATTTATAACAAATAATTTATTTCGATATATTGAATAATAGATTAAACACGGGTTTAGATGACCGAGGGTTATATTGGAATGAATACGGTTAATTAATTAATAATTCAAAATATAGTCCAATGTAATTTAATAACAGCAAAATTGCAATACTCGATACTCGTTATCCTATTACAAATTTCCATTATATTCTAACCATCAAGCACGCTATGAAATAATATATCTTTAAAATAAATCTTTAAAATTGCCAATGATTTACGCATTTTCTTCATTTTTATAAAAGAATTGTAGAAGACAATCGTGTGTAAAAATTGCGTCATCATTGGGCTAATTAGCAGCTGCGATCCTCAATGACTCTAAATAACGAGAAAACTGTGCGCACCTGAAAGTGTGCAAGGAAACTACAGGAAAATGAGGAAATGAGGGAGGGTGAGGAAAAGGAAGTTTAAAAAGTGTAAAATATGTTAGTGAATCGAGTGCTGGATACATAGGGCCATGTGTTGGTAATTGAGCGACAGGAAAGCGATTAATAATCCGCTCCGAGAAGTTCTCGGTGCCTCGGGACGGGAAGACGCCGATTTTCAAAGAATGACGCGTGCATTTAGTGCGTATCGACTCGCGCAGCTAAGAAAGTGAAAAGCCACGGCGCATTGGTCGAGAGGCTAAAAGAGGTGGGGACGCACCGCCGTGGCGGGAAATGCCGAGCTTCGTTGGACGTTGTCGGGAGTTCTCGAGCAGCTTTCGCAGTTCCCAGTCCACTGCGCGTCGCCCGCGAGGCTCGGATGCGCTCCGCGGCACGAGGATTGCCCGGATGCTGCGCCCGTCCCTTCACGAACACGATTGTCGAGCGAGAATCTGGCTGCCGGCGGCGGCTCGGTACCTCGAGATATCCTTCCTTCTGGCCGGCCGGATCGACGTGCACCCCGGTGTCAAGAGGCTTCCTCGCTAGGTGAACTTGGTGACTTCAGTTTGGTAAGGAGGATGTTCGGGTGGCTGGTCGCGATGGGCGCTAAGCCTTTTTTGTCCCATCTGATACGCGAACGATCCCTTTTGGCCGGAGACTCGCTAGCTTCTTGGGGGAGGAGCTTCCAACGAAGAGATTAGCGCCGGTTGTTAGGCGACAGAGGGATCGTGAAAAAGATTGTGAATAATGTGTGTTGCGATGAACGTCGCTACGTTGACGTTGCGCGCACAATTTAATCTTATAATCATCGCTTTTACGTCTCTATCTTATCAATGTCTTATCAGTGCAAAGGTTTAACGTGCCGTGTTATTCAAGGCGATCGTAAACTCCATCGAGTGGAATATCTACATTCGAGATCTACATTATTCTAAAGAGATAAATTGCCATTGCTTATGTGCCGATTTTAATAACAAAATTAATCATTGTACATTTATAAATTGTCTTTGCTTGAGAATTCACGCTCCTGGCAATTATTAACGCACAAAGATTGTCAAAAATTATATACGAAGAAAAGTGATATAAGTTTTATTTACTATAGCAAATTGATAGCGCTTTTGTTTAAGCAAACCACGTCCCACTACAGGTACTTCCCCCACCCCCACCCTCATAAATATTCATTACCATGACATTATGAATTCTTACACATTTGTATTTCGTTCTTATGATTTTCTAGTATTATTTCAGTTCATAAAGAACGCGTTGTACGCCGTAACATATTAGCTTCCATTAATAACAAAGAACTCTGCTTTGTTACGAAAGTTTTACTTAATACTTACATA